ATTTTTAATCAATTTTTTATAACTATAAGTTTAAAATTTGATTTTCTTTTGTATATATAATTTATTTATATAATATTATATGACGTATATTGTATAATGTATATAGATAAAATACATTATATAATTATTTTAAATTATTCTAGTTTATATCAGTGTTTGATATAATACTGATCTTGAATTTTTACGCGGCCCACCGAGATTTTCTCGGTAGCTCGCCGGTTCAATCTGGGCCTGAATATACTGTAATATKATGAATWTATTCTATACTGTAAAGAATGTAAAGTATATGAAAAATATAATTGTATAATTTATTTTTGGTCCCAACAGTATTGTAGGTCATTCCTTTAGGAATCTTGAATATTTTCTATCGGACTCCCGAGTCGTCTGTTTTTAATATCCAATTTCATTTCGGTTTGCCCTTAAGACTATACGCATTATATACATATATTTAGTATATGTAGTTATATTATATATATAGTATGTGTAACGAATGAAGGAGACTTTATGTTTATTTCCAGGAATCCTTCCAATTTCACCAATAAAAAAAAAAGAGATGACAAGATTTCTCGGACTCTAGTGCAATGGTTCTCGAATAAAATAATAATAATAAAAACAGAAAAAAAACTATTGACATAAAAATTGTGGGCGGCAGTCAAATCACATAAAGAAAACGCGCGTAAAGAAGATGAAAAAGAGAAATAATAATTTAACCTAAAAACCGCGCATCACACTTGCCATTATTATCATTTATATGGAACGGATTTTTGTACGGACAAATAATAACAATAAAAAAATTTAATAATCATGTTGTAAGTAAACTTTACTAAATGCGCGCCCCAATAATCATTTGAACAGCTCTCTCACTCACACACACACACTCTCTCTCTCTGCCTAAAAAAAAAAAAAAACTAAAAATTTATATATTTCCTTAAAAAACTTCTGTGCTATAAATATGTATAATGTTTTAATAATATACATAAGATATAATATACTTGAATTATTTTTTCATATTAACATCCAAGCGTTGGGGGAAGTTTTTTTTAAGCAAAAATGATTGTTTTATAACCACCACATAACGAGACAACGTTGAATAATCGAATCGTTGTTATACAGCAAAACAGATTTTATTCGGTCATTTTTGTAAAACGAAATGGCCAAGGGGGAGAAAAAGTATAATACAATCACATAATAATTATTATATAGTAATAATAACACTAGTTAAATACGTTTTGACATATTTTTTTCGCATATTATTATACACGAATGTCGAATACATTAATACAAAATAGCCAAGTAAGGTATCTATTATATTATATTATACCTACTCATAATAATTATTATTATTTCATTATACCTTTTACGACAATATCGCCTTATCTCTCGTATAATCGCGGCGTGGTTACTATTATAGTATCTACGTATATATATTATATGGACATATAGATGTATATAAGTATATATTCATTATACAGCCGAGGCATCAACAACTCAAATCTCAAAGGGTATAAAAATAAATTCATAAGCATGTTCATATTAAGTTAAATACCTCAAAYATAAGTTATTAACAACACTTCAGGGGGCAAGACTAACTGGTTTTCGAGTTGACGAGGTCCGAGTTATCGCGACTGGGCGACTGTAGTTAGTAAATAGTATAGTGTTTTTCGTATATTTTTTACTATTAATTATTATATTGTTTTCGAGGACTCCAAACTTATATTGCTTCAYGTTTGTAAATTGTAATAATTTACGCCTGTATACGTGTAATGCAATGCATATAAGTTTGACACTGCTACAGACGAGACACCGAGCTTTTCACTCAATGTTGTGATATTATACGAAGCGTTAAATTATGTAAACGTATGCGAAACTCGTGCGAACACACGTAGCTCTTGATAATGTATAATAAAATAATAATGTTATATAATAAATATTTTATGCAGGTAATCTTTAAAAGTTGTGTGATTACTGCTTCAGTCTCTTAAAATACAATTTTAAGGTATAGCGTGCATGTTAATTACTGAACTTGCAAGGGCAATGCGTTTTCAAAATATTATCAGCATTATAATCATCGCTGTAACTTTATGTATGTATTTATTTTTTTTTTTTTAATTTATTAAGGCTTCAACAACACATGGGTTTGGTCTATATTGGCTACATTTGTATAACTTCATTATATGCGTGTAAACTGAACGACCAATCTGACGAAAACCTTTATTATAGGTATTTATTATTTATATTTTATAGCGCCTGGTGTGTCATGGTAGTTGACCTCAGTCACTAATTTGTGCGGAAGTCAAGCATCGACTGTGGTCACTAGTTCCTGGATGGGTGATCAACAGGGATTTTAATGACGAATTATTGGCCCACATCATACATGTGTGCCAAACTAACCATTATATCATCTACAGTGAAAAGCAAGCTAATAATAACAATCATCAAATGGCCTAAGTTTCCACAAGTTAAAAAAAATGTATTCTATTTTACACGATTTTTCTGCGTATCCGCTCAGAAAAATAATTCGTATTATGTTGTATTGGTTTTTATATTTAATGCCATTTAATTAAACAAATATTATTGTTACTTATTGTTAAAAAAAACTTACCTTTTWTCGCAATGTTTTGATACTTGAATATTGTTTATTTCTGCTTCAGCTATTGTAATCTGAAATCAACGACGGAATAGTTGAAAATATAATTATTATTGTTATAGTTAAATATTATATTATGTTTTATAAATAAATGAAAATAATTTTAATTACAGCAGTAAGTCACTAGAATTTCAAATATTTATTTTCCCTAAGTAATACTATTCTTGAAATAATATTTGACTATCATTTTTATTTTCGTTTCGAATCCATTTATCATCATCACTTTAACCTTATACGAATTTCATATATATATATATATTGTGTATGATGTACCTACATTATAATATATTTATATCCTTTTCCTGTGACCGCCTCTTTGATGTATTTTTCCAAATAAAATTTACATTAAATACGCCATATATATATATATATATATATATATTCAAAACTGTTTGTTGGTTAAATAAATAGAGAGAATTTTGATAAATTTGTTTTCGCAGTGAAACCTCCCAAAATATAGATAAATAATACGATTTCGTTTCAAAAATCGCACGGTATATTATTAATTTATTATACTGCAGTATTCGTTTCCACGTAGCACACGTARAGTATTATATTATTATATTTGCACGAGTTTTTTAGATGGTCTGTGTTAAATATATCCTGAGAGTTCTTTATTACAAGCCACCTTTTAAATCAATTTTTCTACATTTCAAAATTTATGTCTGATCCTTTCTTATGGTGATTTTATTGCATGGCGTTTGTGCCCTTATGGTCAATATCCAATCTATAGAAATTGTTAAGTTTTAGTTCTATAGTTAAATGCTTGATTGTTAACTTATTGTTTGTAATAATTTTAAATATGTATCAGAAAAAAAAATTAAATGAGGTCTAAATTTTTATCGAGTGCTCGTGCTATATTATACAGTGTAGGTACTTTAATAATATTATATTGACTATAATATGAGTGAATAGTTATAATAAACGTTTAACGTGTCGATTAAAAACAACGTATACGCTTCATAACCACATACAACATACACAATAAACTGTATATCATATTAATACACCGAAGCGCATAAAATGCAGATAATTAATCGAAGGAATTGTACGRCAGGATTCAATAAATCGGTGTACACAGTTCAGAATGTATAATATTGTAACACACTTGCGTGCGTTATACTCTTAGCAGAAATATTCATAATAGTAATAATAATAATAATAAYAACAACACATAAAGCGAAATATTAACCTGTCGCAATAATTAGTACACAAACGTGAACGCGTTTTGATGTTTGTGCAAATTGCTTTTACTCGGATAAGGTCGATGCCTATGTGGTTAGCTTGGCGTGTAGGGTAGGAGGGGTGCAATAATGTTTTTTAATACGCACGTGGTAACAATCATAACCGTATCAGGAAAGAATGTTTTTCGACTATGTATAATTCCGTGAGCAAGTGCGGTCGCGTTATAACTTATAATATTGAATTTTATGATGGGTACATCTATCGATGTATATTGTATAAACGTGCAGGTATTCACTATAATGTTATCGTTACGGCAGATCATAGCTGGCACTTACTATAATATTATTATACTCGTTGATCATTTTTATCATTAAGTCGACTCGGTTAAAGTGTTATTTTTTTTTAAGTCGATGTTCCGACAGAACGAACCATACTCAGGTATATACGTATTTAATCAGGTACACTATTTGTGAAAAAAGTAAAGGTCACTCCCCTGTTGGTATCTAGTGTTATTTAGTATTGCTGCAGAAATGATAATAATTAATAGGTTGTATGTACATAATATAAATATATGTTCTGTTCAAAAATGTTAATCCCACGTGGAGTACCACAACACTGATGTTCGTAAAAAAAAAATACATAAATATTATTTGATTACATAATATTATAAGCTAATCATAGTAGTTAGTGGAGAGTTTTGACTGCGTCCATTTAGTCTGACGAGGACCCAGACGGTCGGCTGTGGTATGGCGGCRCTGCCGACGACGGTTATTAATCCGGTCGTGCGTCATCGGTCTCGTTTTCGCTTAGTAAATAATAATACATAGTTGATATTATTATATATGTCGTAGGCATATAGTCAAATCAGGCATTTTATTAAATGCCTAGGCATATAGTCAAAGAATTTAATGTTTATGCAATTTCACTATCCGCCTAGACATTTAGTAAAATGCCTAGTCATTTAATTAAGTGACTAGGCATTTGACTAAATGCCTATTTCATGCCAGGCAAATAATAAAAGAACATTTTGTATTATTTTAAAAATTTAA